AAAGCCCCAGTAGATAGTTGCATGTCATAGCTGCACACCCTTCTAGTTGCTGTATGTGGGACTCGGCCTCAGGATGGACAGAGAAGTGGTGCCTTGATGCGCACCCGGGATCCGAACCCGGGCCGCCAGCATCGCAGCGCGCGCACTTAACCACCAAGCCACAGGGCCGGCCCATGTGCCTATCTTTTAAAAATAATTTCAATAGTGAAAATTAATGTTTAGGATTTTAAAGTTTTTCAAACATAAAACAATTTCCAGAGTAATTATGTATGTGATGAAATAAAAACAACAAAAATACTTGGAAAGGTAAATAAGAAAGTGAAAACTAACTTGCATACACTAATGTTGTAAAACATCACCAACAATAAACTTACACTTTGATCTCCTAATTCAGAGTCCTCACAGTTTCAGTGATCATCTTCTTTCTCTAAGTTATGAAGAGTCATAAAGTACACTGAAAAGTACTTCAAAGTGGCCAGTTTCCCAACCAGGGATCAAGACACTGTGAAAATCCCTAGACATAATGGTAGCCCTTGACTCTTCTGATTCATATTTATGACATGCATTTGCTAGATCTTACGTACTCAATGTTACATTATGGATAAATGGTAAAAATACATCCCTTTTATGATAACGTCAGACTTGAGTCTATTAACACATACTCTATCACATCATTTTAGTAAATGTATGCATTTAAAAAAAATGTAAATGAGGAAAATGTAGGCTATACTGTATTTCCCTTTATGCCTCTTGTTCTGCAAACGAATTCTGTTGAAGAGCTGGAGATTAGGTGGAACTAGCCAGAGAGATGAGAAACCAGGGATCCAAGAACAATGAAACAACATTAGTTCCTAATACCAAAAATAAAAGAAAACAAAAACAAAAACAGGGCTCCAATCTTTTTCAAACGTGGTTTGAATCAGCTCAAGAGTCTCTGTGACGGGTCTCAAAGGCATTTTCTGAGAACCGCTCTTCCACTTCCTCTAACTGGCATCTGTTAGGCAAGTTTATGATTTAATGGCTTGTAGCATTCTGCTATTTTTTTCTAACACCATCCCGCATTAAGTACTTGTTTATTTGTAACTAAGCCCTATTAGTGGTGACTTGCATCCCATCAAGCTAAAGTAAATATAAACTACACAAGGAAGCCCCTTTGGCTACTAATCTCTACCACCACCTTCCCCATCTTCATTTTGCTACTAATCTCTACGACAACCTTCTGCATCTTCCAGAGGAAGCACACACCATATAAGCCATATGGAGAAAACAAGCATTGGATTATGAAATGGCAATTTCAACCCACGTTAACTCTGCAATAATATTAAGAGGTTGTCTTGTTTAGACTGAATGTAAAAGAGTAAAAAGAGAATTTGACATGGAGTATTGTGAACACAAGCTTATCTTCCATGGGTTGTAAACAATCAATTATTAAGTGAGATTTTTACTTTCTCCGATCTTTGCTTTTATTTCTGATTTAAAGTTTTAATAATTTGGGGATATGTGAAGAAGGTGAAAGGTGGTAAGTGGGATTAGATCTGGCTTTGAATAGTCAACTTTCCCTCAGCTTTGTCAAAATAGGCTCCTTCTTTGGTAGATTGAATTTCCCTGTCACCATCTATCATATGAATATCTGATGTATTTTGGTCATTTTGCCTCAAACGGTAACTTTTATAAGCACGCTGAATGATGGTTGCTGAGACTGCCTCTTGTTTTCGTTTCAGAGTAGTTGTAATTGGCTCATATGTGATCTTAAAAGGGTTGGCTAACAGAAACCCTGATTCCATCTCTGAAAGAAATTTCTCCATCCTCTCATCTTTACCCATAACTCGCTTTGTTAAAGCAAGTAAGATGTCAAGGCAATGAATTCTGTCCCCAACAGCCATGGGAAGATCCATGGCAACGAGCTGGCCCTTGTTTGGTTTTGCCATGAAAAGAGGAGGATCAAGAGCGGCTGCCAAATCTGAAAGCTTGCTAGAGTCTATGTACTGGGTCATGTCGGGATCAAACCTCTTCCATACCTGAAAGAACTTCCTAAAATCATCTTCACTCAACGTCTTGGCTTTTTTTTTAGAAGCAATATTTAAAAACTCCATGACAGCAACAATGTACATGTTTACAATGATCAGCCACGATATGAGGATATAACTGACAAAGTAAATAATTCCAACTAAGGGGTTACCACAATCTCCTCTAACCTGGGTCCCGGGGTTAATTTTATCAGGATCACAGTCAGACCATTTACTGTTGAAAATTGCATTGAGCATCCCATCCCAACCAGCAAATATTGTAACTTGGAAAAGACAGAGCATACTGCTGCCAAAGCTTTCAAAGTTAGACACATCATTAATTCCAGCTTCCTTTTTAACATAGGCAAAATTGTACATTCCAAAGATGGCATAGACAAACATGACCAGGAAGATGAGAAGACTAATGTTCAACAATGCTGGCAGAGACAGCATCAAAGGAAGCAGCAGATCATTGAACACCTTTGGTCCTTTCCCAGGACGCAGGATGTGGATGATCCGTGAGAGAAGTATCAGTTGCACAAGGGAAGGAGGCACAAGGTAGTGTCCTACCATCAGAGGCAGAAATAGTCCTTGGTGTAGGAAAAGATAAAGCAGGTAATAAAATTATTCAAATACGGTTGTACTTAGAGGAATATAAATTATTTACAGTTCATTTTTTTCTATAGATTAAGATCATTTATTAATCCTTCCCATATAACAGTTAGCACATTGAAAATTGGGGTTAACCAAATACTAATCATGGAAATGCTCAAAGTATCCAGTAAAATTTGGAAGAGAATTCTTTGTATCATTATCTTAAGAGTATTATAGATCAAGTACTTCTGGAATCACAGATGGCACGAATCCATAATATAAAAAAGTAGTCATATTTTTTTCTGATTGCAGTTGGATCAAGGAATTTAGTTCAATCCAACCTTTATTGGATACCTAATAAAGGTGTCATGCAAATATGCAAAGAGGAAGGACATGACTTCTGTCCTCAAAGATGTTATAATCTAGAGAGTAGAGGTAGACATTTAAACTACTTATAATGCTAGGCAGAAAGACCTAGTTGATAAATATAATTACAAAAATGTCTGGCATTCAGTGATTCACAGATTATAATTTAACTAATTTATTTCATAAATAGTATTTGGGCCCTTAGAAGCTTTAAATGTGAATTGAATAAATGAGTCTTTGCCTAGAACTTTTTTCTGGCAGTGGTGGGTGGATGAAGGAACTATGGGAATGAGAGATATAATTATAAAACAAGATGAAATTATAATTACCATCAAAAGCATAAAGCATGTTCTCTGGAAGTACTGGAGAGAGTGTGGTTCATCTTGAGTGGAGAAGGTGGGAGGGGAGAATCTCACGAACCTTCTAAATGAAATAGTATGTTTGCTGAATCTGGAAGGATCATGTCTCGCCTTTCCAGTAAACTTGGTCACTGTCAATGATGGCATTCTCCCTCACATTCTCTCTTGTCTATATCCTCATCTCCACAGTGATTTAGTGAACCTTCTACTCTTACGCAAATTTTTATTTCTCCTCAATCTTCCAAACTCTTCCATTATGCAGGAGGTATCCCCATTTAATGGTAAACAATGTTACATATCCTCATTACTAAATTTTCTTCACCTCTTTTCTTATCTAAAATCTAACTCTATCTTGAGGACATTATTTCCCTTGCAACACTCTCAAGTGCAGAGAGCTCATTCTTCCCCACTCCATGTTTCTCAGGGTAAAAGGATGGAATAAACAAGCATCTTTCTTTCTTTCCAGTGTGATTTCAGACACTCTTCCTTCCCAACAGTTTCATGAAGAAAAAAAATGAAATTTCTGACACAGTGGATCATGCCATTCAACTATAGCATCTCCTACCATTCCTTGGCCGTATGATTTATTTATTCCCCCTCATTCATATTCATTGGGGACTTTAGTACTTGGCTCACTGCCACCCCTTCCACTCCAGCACCTACCATCAACAACCTATTCAAAGACCAGTCTATTAGTCTTTCATCATTTTACTTTAGTCATAGACTTCTATGGCTGTATTCCAAACCTTCTGAGTTCTCAAATTCAAACAGCTTTCTCTTTGACTGCAGTTTCCTCTCCTTCCAGATCTCTGATTCAGCAACTCTCACTTCAATCTCATAGGGCTCTTTAATTCCATATTCCTCTGTTTTCTTCCTATGAGCCCCTTCTGTCTTTCAGTCAAGCCTCTTGTACTTGTCTATCAATAGTTGTACTGCTTCTACTACCAAGTGAATGAGTGAATTTTCTGGAAGCACAACTGGGCAGTTTATCTACATTTTTCACTACTGACTACATAGAATAGTACTTGACAATAAACTCTTAAATATTGTCCCTACTCTCATGGAGCTTATATTCTAGTTTGTGTCTTATGGGAGGCAGACAATAAACAAACTCTTCTCCGCCTAAAATACTTTTATCATAGATTCCTTCTTGGCTACCTCCTATCTAATAGTTCTGTTTAGATTTTTGCTTCTTGCATGAAGTTTTCTCTGACCTGTACTTACTGATCAGGTGCTGCTCACTTTGCTGTGCTGCTATAGCACCACGTGCTTCTTCTCTATCACAACCTTAATAGCACAACACTAAAATGTACTGCTTAATTATCTGTATCCCTTAACAGATTATATACTATGTGCGTACAGGAATTATGCCTACCTTGTTTACTACTGCATTCTTTGCATATAGCATATCTATTCACAGAGGATAATTAAATATATTTGTTAAATAAAAGACTGAGATCTCCACAGTATGAGAAAACTAGAGACAAATTCATTAAAGCCTAAAACTCTAGTGTTGCGAAAGTTGTAAACAGTTTTAGAGATTAGAGGAAAAGGAACAATAGTGAGCTTGAAAGGTTGTATCATCCTAAGACATAAAGATCCTGCTAGTGTCATCCTAGAAAAATAATGTATGTGATATACTGAAGGGGTAGTTAAGCATTTACCTGGTGGTCTGTGAAATTAACTCTATGTATTAATTCAAGAAGTGTTTTTTAATAGCTTATATCTGTTAGTCATGTATACATGTATTAATGAAAAATGTAAGGCATTCCTGCTGGAAATAAAAAGGGTGTCTACCTGTTTTGCTTATTAAAAGACTATATCTCAGAAGAAATTTACTATAAGAGCTTGTCTGAGTTAATACTACTACAAACGAAAATCTGACTAAACAAAATCTTACCTGTAATAGAGAAAATGACCACCATAAAATCAAAAATGTTCCATCCTATGGTGAAATAGTTAAAGGGGAAAGAGATGAGCTTCAGTACACATTCTCCAGTGTACAGCATAACAAAAACTGAATTAATCCAGTAGAGAGCAGTGTCCATTTTTGGATTCTGTTCGTCACTTTGTATCATAATGGTTATCGCTTGGAAACAGATAAGAACCATAATGACGATATTAAAAACTTGATTTGTTACCAAGTCAAAGATGAATCCTTGGAACTTATTCTATGGGTAAAGAAAGAAGGTATAATAGTCTTATTAATAATATACACACACACATATAGTCTTTAGATTTACAATTTCCCTCCCAGCATAAACAGAAGAATAAGTGAGGGCCTAAGTTTATACCAAACTATAATTATAGCATATAGTCAAAAACAAACAAAAAGACAATCAAAAGCTTTTCAATTTTTAAAATTTTGTCAAAAGCATTTGTTAAGAGTTTTAAAAACACATTTTCATTTAAAAAACAGAATACATAAAGGAAACTATTTTAGAAGCTTCAAAAAAAATCCAGATGTTTTCTTACTCCTGGGCGAGGTACTGGTTTTTGAGAGTCCTCATACATCAGCTTCCTTAGTGCACGGTATTGTTTCTTCTGTTTTACAGTTATAAAGATATTTGAGCCTCCCTGGTAAAGAAGAAGATATTAAAATCACATTTAATTCAAATTTTACCTAATATTAACATGCATTTTGGAAAGCTTGGCAATTATTGATTTAATCCTTTAAAAAAGGCTTAACTGCAATGAACTAAATCATGTTTAAACATGTCTGACTTTCTGCACAAAAATCCATATAAAACACATATAGAACACATCCTGGTGATGACTGATATTCAATTATCCTTTGGTACACTTTCCTGTGGGTAGACAACTCTATTTTAACTTTCCGTCTATTGAGGCCTAACTTTTATTAGACAGAGACAAAGGAGAAACAGCAAGGGATAACTGGAAAGGTTTACTAAGAAAGGCTGAACTCGAAAGCTAAAGGTAAAGTTGGTTAGTACCTTTTAATAAGCAGGAAAAAAAATTGGTCATATATGTGTTTTTATATGTTCATGTATGACTTAATTTTCTAAATACTATCAGAAGATATTTTTTACTATTATGCCAAAAGCACCTTGTGCTTACTTCTTCATAGAACCCTCTAGAGCTTATTCGTCTTTGTGCTTCTAGTGCTAATTTCAGCATCTTATACGAAATACATAAAGCGAATAAGAGGTGAACATTTAATGATGTGTTAATCCAGGAATTAGGAATTATTACTGCCCTAAGTCATGACCTCGTCATTTAAAATTGAGAGATGTCACCAACTGGAAACCAAGAAGCAGATCCTGGATGTTATCCCATTTGGTTGAAGGCCTCAGGAAACTGAAGCATCCAATCAAATGCACATTTGATCACTGATCTCTCCAATCTCATCTGATTAGTGGAGACTCAGAGTGGTTTGTTTACCAGAATCTGCACATGGCTGAACTTTGATGACATGACTAAGGATGGAATTTCCAAATTAAACTATTCTTTTCTTTGATTTTTTAGAAGGCTTTCCTACTCCTAATAGAAAGTAGGATTTATATGATTAAAATAAGTGGATTTATATGACTTTGGAGGTATCCTCATTTGTAGAAGCCCTGAAGTGAGTCTTTCTGTGGAGATGGCACCAAACAGAGGTTGTTCAATTCTGCTTCTGAATCCTGTCTTATTCCTTTCAAGCACTGCTATTGAGGCCATCCAATTAGGGTTTATGGCTCTCTCTACCTCTAGCAGAAGAAGCTGCTCCAACTGACAAAGATGTCTATGCTGTTTATGACTCTGAAGGCTTTGAATCATCAGAGAGTAAAAATGTGTGGTTTAGTTTTCTTGAACTTCTTCACATATTTGTGCAGATGCACAACATTATTTGTTTTTCAGCCTGTCGTTATTTACCAACATATATTCAGAAACACTTGTAATTTTTAACTTTTAAACTTGGCTGTGTCTATTTGAATATAGAAAACAATGTAAAGATGAACATTTTAGCAATATTCATCAATATGCGGGAACATCAATCATTTTTTAGATAAGTTCCAAATAAAAATGACATTAAGCTGGGGGCCGGCCCGTAGCTGTTAGGTTTGCATGCTCTGCTTTGGTGGCCTGGGGTTCACAGGTTCAGTTCCAGGGCTGGGACTGATACACTGCTTGTCAAGCCATGCTGTGGCAGCGTCCCATATAAAGTAGAGGAAGATGGGCATGGATGTTAGCTCAGGGCCAATCTTCCTCAGCAAAAAGAGAAGGATTGGCAACGGATGTTAGCTCAGGGCTAATCTTTCTCACCAAAAAAAAATGACATTAAGATAAACCCAAAACCAATTATTTGAAGCAGGACATTTTTATAAATGTATTTGATTTTCTTAGGCATCAATGAACAAAGAATATTTATACTTATCTTTATTTTATGCTTGTTGAAATTAGCAATAATAACACCAATCAGCATACTCAGAGGAAGAAATAATCCAATGATAATAAAGTTGATAAAGTAGCAATACATGAAGATGTTGCCTTCAAAATTAGGCTGCATATTTACCTAAGAGTTAAGTTAAAAAATAAGCAAAATAAGGCAGACAATTGAGGATTTTTAGGGCAGTGAAAATACTCTGTATGATATTATAATGATGGATATACATCATTATACATTTGTCCAAATCCATAGAATGTACAACACTGAGTGAACCCTAAGGTAAACTATGGACTTGGGGTGATTATGATGTGTCAATGTAGGTTCATCTCTGGTAAAAAATGTACCATTTTGCTGAGTGATGTTAATAATGGTGAGGCTATGCATGTGTGGGGGCAGGGAGGACATGGGAAATCTCTGTATTTCCCTCTCAATTTTGTAGTAAACTTAAAACTGCTCTAAAAAAATAGAGTCTTTGAAAATAAAAATAAATTAAAAAGTGAAAAAATAAGCAAAATATTGATACTGACTTTTTAAAATATAAGATTTAGAAAATAATTTACGACAAGAAAATCCATCAATGCTACTTGAGGTAATGTTTCCTATTTGCTTTTTGGTGAAGAGATATCATTGCTTTATTTGGATTTTAAAGTTTATTGCATTGGTTTAACTATTGTTATGAAGTCTGATAATCCTTCATATGGGCCTATTGGACCTCAACCATTATATATAACCCTGGAAAGTTTTCATTGTCCGTGAAATACTCAAACTGAAATGTATTTAATTTCTGTCTAGCATGAGCATTTGTTTTTACCAAGTTAAATTATTCAGTTATTGCTGGTGCCCTGTTCCTGAATTGCAAAAATGACTTTGCTTGAACCTTAACAGTGGCTTTAAGATTATATTGTACTTACACCAATAGAATCAACTGCTGAATTCATAATAGTGATCCATCCATTAAATGTTGCCTGTAAAAATGGTATGTATTTAATTCTTATGGAAATCTTATGCTTCCTAGCAAATAAAAATTAAAACTCAGTCTGTTATTAATACAGCAAAACATTTGATTAGTAAAGCCGACCACACTTCAATATATTGTGTAATTGAGATCTTTATAATTTTCATTAATTACATTTATGTTGTCTGTTAACAACTATTTAAATCTACTTAGCTTAATTGTAGTTAATAACCTAAAATATTTTAAGGTAGTATAAATAGAAAGAGAGAGAAAGGTAGGTAGATAGATAAACGGCAAATACGTACTGCCCGAGTGTCATAGTTACATGGCTACTGCTATCTATGTGCATTTCTAGGGGAGGTAAGACAGAGATGATTCACCTCCTCACATCTGCTACATGTTGGGTGACTGAGTAGCCACTCCCCAAAGCAGTAAGTAGAAACAAAACAGTAGTAACCTGAGTTGGACCAAAAATTGTGCCCCTATTACCTGATTAGTGATGGTAGAAATAGGTTTGGCCACTGCCATTTCCTCTGTCAGTACTACCTTCATCTCCACTTCCTTCCCTCAACAGAGCAGGGGCTGTATTTCACTTTTGTCTTTCCAAATGAGCCTAGTATAGTATGTCCCATAATATGTATCTACTAATTAATCATTGCTAAAATAATTTATAACCAACTCTATTAATTGTCCACATTTTGTCCTTTATGTTGACCTACAATGTGGATGAACATATAATTGATAAAAAAAAATCAAAAGTGTACTTACTACTTGAAGCAGTGAAAGGAAACCATTTCCAACATTATCAAAGTTTAGTTTTGCATTCTCCCATGGCATGGATTCATTAAACACAAGGCTTTCACATTGGCTCTTATTCATGACTTCAGATACAGGAAACCTTTCTCCACTTGTTGGGTCAATGCATTCATAGAATGTGCCAGCAAATAAGTGTACTCCTACGATGCTAAAAGCCAGCCAGATCATAAGGCAGACCAGAAATACATTCAAAGCAGGTAACGTTGTTTTTATCAAAGCTCTCACAACCACCTGGCATAAAAAATAAATACGTAAACTTCAGGTAAGAAATGTGAAACTATTTTAATTAAATTGGAAATACTAATTAATGTAATGTCATATTGAAATAACTAAAAATGGCCATCTCTAAGGAGCCAGTATTTGAATAACCTAAATAACAAATTTCAATTAAAAAATACACATTAAAAATCCAGATATTCTCAAAATTTTTGAACGAAAAAATCATTAAAAAGCAACAGAGCTAATTAGTGTAAATACTAGAATAAATAATTATCTCACTAACTTAACACATGTTTGTCAGCTTCCTATATTGTGCTGGAAATGGGCAAGACAGCTGAACCTAGGTGTATGTATGTGATTATCCAGAAAGCATATAAAATGAGAGCAAAATATGCCTAGACCTAGGTCTTGGGGATTCTAACTTTAGGGAGGATTAGCCTACAAAGGAGACAGTGGAGAAAGAAGAGGAAGACCAAGAGATTGTAGATCAATGAAGTCAAGGCAAGAAACTTTCAAGAAACACTGAATGGGCAGCTGTACCTCACAAAATCACAGACCTCCTCACTCAACACTGCTGTGTCACTGGTGAGCCACTCCAGAGTGGGAAGTTTGGGAAATGAATCCACCACCTAAACTTGAAGAACAGCGATAGTCTATAATCACCGTCTCAATTTCCTCAACTCCCTTCACACTTTAATATTATAATCAGAATTTTATTCTCATTACCCCTGTAAAGCTGTTATGCTAAATGTAAACTAGTTGCTTTATGCAGTAGGATATTTTCAATCTCTGCTATTTCATTATCTTTCCTTTAGCATTTACACTTTTGACTCCCTTCCCTCAACCTCGCTGCCGCTTCTTTTTTCCTGAGGCACCATTGATTCTCTTGTCTACCATTCTAACCTTTCCTTCCCTCAGCTGTTACTGGATACATATCCTTTTACCTGTGCTTTTTTGCTTATATTCCTTACTTTTCTGTCCTTAAATTAATATTTTGACTTGTAATTGTGCTTTCAATAACACTTGATTTTATTTCTAAGACTAAGTCACAGATCCCGTATTGACATTTTAGATATTTTGAGAGGTGCACTAAATGCCTCTGATGAAAAAAATGCTCTGCCTACTAGAAAATACACATACATAAGAAGAAAAGCAGTGGATGTGGTTGACACAAATATTTCAGTAGTAAGAGCACCCAAGGCCTGAAGCTTATTAAATACACAAAACATTAATTTTCTAATCGTGTAGCTTCCTTATATACTCAATGATATATTTCCAGAGATCATTCAACTATAGAACTTTCAGAGGTTGAGATGAAGCTTAAGATCTGGATCTGACCTTGATCTAACCATGGCTACTATTTACCAGTCCTTGAATTGTCCATGGCTACTATCTCATTGCCATTCAAATGAATGAATGTACGGCATCAAATGATACAGTGCTTAATTTCTGACAAACAGGGGCAGTTTCTCTAGCAAATATCTTCCTACTTTTCTCTAAATTGGGGGCAGGCGATTTACTAATTTGGGCAGCACTCTCCTCCCCTCCTCCCCCACCTATATAAATTTATTAAGAAAAATAACCCTGATATTATCCCATAATGTTTTCTACAATAAAGAAGAATTTATTTTAGTTACATTCATTATCTAGTTTGTATGTATGTATGTCTCCCAGCTTTTTTAAGGTGTAATTGACAAAAATTGTATATATTTAAGGTGTACAATGTGATGATTTGATATATGTATACATTGTGAAATGAATACCAGACTCAAGCTAATTAACACATCTATCACCTCACGTAGTTACCTTTTTTTTTTTTTTTGGTGGTGAAAACACTTAAGATCTACTCTCTTAGGAAATTTCAAGAACATAATACTGTACTATTAGCTATAGTCACTATGCTGTACATTAGATCCCTAGAACTTATTCATCTTATAAATGAAAGTTTGTACCCTTTGACCAACATCTCCCAATCCCCCCGCACCAGCCCCTGTGTTTTGAGTTAATAAGCCATGTGTAGTTTATAGCCCTAGAATATTCTATGAAATTTTCCTATCACTGAAATGTATTTGTTTTGGAAATTGGGCTGTCTCATCATTTTAACTTCAATCTTACAGACCTCTTCAACCACTTTCTCCTTTTCAGCTTATTTTACTCCTTATTCTGGTTTAAAAGTGAACCAGTGGGGATATCACCCCTAACCTTGGGGACCTCCATGATGCTGTTAATAAAATGTTTCATAGAGATTGGGAGTCAAGATGGCGGCGTAGGCAGACTCTGAACTCACCTCCTCCCGTGGACACAGCCAATTTACAACTACTCGTGGAAAAATTACCCCTGA